ACCTGCAGAGTAATTAACAAACAATGATCAGAGTAATTAGAATCGACCACCTACTAAAGACCAATAGAGAACTAAGTTGTCTTGTGGTGTTTGTAGTCTTCTTTCGACAGTAAATATTATCTGAGAGCACATATGATGAATGAGCATGGATTTTTGTTAAATGAAGATGGAAAAAATGCAGTACCCTTTGCAGCACAGAAGGCAGTGACCAATTCCTTGCCATTTCAACAGTCATTATTTCATCAACTATCATTACCACCTCCTTTTACACTTCAGGACACAGAAGTTTTTTGTGAATTATGTCAAAAGACATTTTCCAATTCATACTTCTTAAAACTTCATAAACAGAATATTCACAATCTTCCAGCAGATGATATTAATAGGACATCTCCCAGAACTCCTTCTGACCAACCCTCTCTAAAGTCTCCACATTTAGTAAGTACAAGCAAACCTATTTCTTCTCCCACAATAAACAGTAAGCCAATAACCCGCACGGGTTCTAACTTTTGTAATATCTGCAATAAGGAACTTTGCAACAAATACTTCATGAAAACACACATGTTAAAAATGCATGGTATTGATCTCAATGAACAGCCAAAGGAAGCAGCCAAGATTAGCACAATTGGAGGAGTAACCTGCGATGTGTGTCAAAAAGAACTCTGCAGCAAATACTTTCTCAAAGTTCACAAGCAAAACACTCATGGGATATATGTTGAACCTCCTCCAAATAAAGAATGTTCATCTCAACCTTCTGTTCAACAAGCAGTAATTAACAATCAAAACTTGCTACCTGGAGAGTTAGTTGACAGCCAGTATTTCAGTCATTATACAGAAATTTGTCCCCTTTGTGACCGCCGTTTCAAAAGCATTAAGTGGTTAAAATCCCACATCATCAATGATCACAATGCTGCCAGAAAAGATATCCTGAGCAGTCCTGAAAATGTGGTTATTAATGATATGCCTGCTATGTGTGTCATCTGTGACCAGAGCTTTGCTGATCAAGTTGCACTACAGGTTCACCTGATCAAGGATCATCAAACTTCAACTGAACAGTTGGGAATCACCAATAACTCAGGGATAAAAATAACTCAAGATTCCTCCAGTGAGATGACCCAAGATCAGCTTGATAATCCAGTTAATGGAAATATATCACCGAGAACACCATCTGTAAATTTGGACCATCTGGAGGGAAAGAGAGAAGGGGCAAAATTATATCACTGCTCTTACTGCACATACACTAGTTGTTGGTTGTCCAATTTGTATGCTCATGAAAAAAGACACACAACAATGATCATTGAGGGAGAGAAAAGGTTTTTCTGTAGGATTTGCCAAAAGGCCTATCGATACAATCATTCTCTTCAGCGACACCTCCTTAGTCATAGAACATCTGGATTTTCTGCAAAAGATTTAACTCATCCTCTAAAAAGAACATCACATTTAGTTATCCAGACTAATGGAGAACAGAGACAAAAACAAAACAACCAAAATGAAAATGAGCAAAGTCAAGTAAAGCAACGTACAAAGGTAAAAAGATATCGTTGTAGCAAGTGTGATAAGAAGTTTCGCACCCGAGAGCTTTGCTTAGAACATATACATGATTTTCATAACAGTAAGAAATCAATTTTAAATCAGCAGAAAATGATAAAACTTCTTCGTTGCCCTGCATGTGGATTTATTGCAAGAGCCTGGAGTATGTTAAAGCTACATATCAACAAACAGCATAATGATAGTCCAGAAATTTTGAGAAGAGCTGAAATGCAGAATTCCTTTATTCCTGAAGCCAGTATTTTGGCTAATAGACAAATTGTTTCAGAAGGGGCAACAGAATCTGGATTGAAAGGATTTTCTTTTCAACCAGGACTACCTCCTGTTGACCTTGGAGTACCTGGTCAGCTTCCTATGAGTTATGCCATGCCACAAAGTCCTCGTAGAGCTGGTACCTTTATAATGCAACCCTTTTTCTTGTCACAGCCAGAAGAAGAGGAAAGTATCCAAAATGATAATTTTGTACCATCTCTTGTGTACCTCCCTGTTTGCCAGAAAATAGCTCAGCCTATGACTGTAGCTTTTTCGTTGACACCAGCATAAGGAAATTCCATGAAGTTATTCCAGTAAGCTTTCTGTGTTTGATGAAACTAATTAGAGTGAAAAAGTCATGCTGATAATCAAAAGTTTTAGTGAGGATTTTTATCTTCTTAGTTTCTATGTGCAATTGCTGTTATGTCATCAGCCTTGAGTGAAAGCAAAATCAAAATTCTACTTGTTGGACTTCCAAAAAAAAATTATGTTGCTATTCAAGTGTTTCATAATGTGTGTTTCATCATATCACTGATGGCAGTCATTACGGGTACATTGCTGCTGTTTTTTTGTTTTTTTTACCATGTACAGTTTGAACTCTGCCTCTCTATTTTATTTCTTTTATCTTTTATTACAAGTTGAGTGTTCAGTGCTGTGGTATAAATCTCATGTGGGAATTCCAAGGTGAGAGTCCAGAGCCATGGTAAAAATCTTGTATAGAGATTCCAATATCAGTATCCAGAGCTGTGGTAGACATCTCATATGAAGATTTCAAGACGAGTATGTACAGTTATGGTAGACATCTTATGTGGAGGTTTCTAGATGAATGTTCAGTGCTGTGGTAAATATCTTATGGAGATTTCAAGGTGAATATCTAGAGCTATGATACACATCTCAGTTGAATATTTCAAGATGATGTGCATAGCTGTGGTAGAAATCTTATGGAGATTACAAGGTATGTGTTCAGTGCTGTGGTAAATATCTTATGGAGATTTCAAGGTGAATATCTAGAGCTATGATACACATCTCAGTTGAATATTTCAAGATGATGTGCATAGCTGTGGTAGAAATCTTATGGAGATTACAAGGTATGTGTTCAGAACTGGTAGACATCTCATAAGGGGAATGCAAGATGAGAGTTTCTGATGTGGGGAATCCAAAAGATAACTTAAGTAAATCAAACCTCTAAAAAATCTCAAAGCTTTCTGATTAAAGAAGCAAGTCTCTGAAAGTTAAACTTGCATTTGGACAATATTTCCATAAACTGTTTCCAGCTAACTCAGGGTCTTATTTTTAATACAATCAAATCGGAGGAAGATCGTACATGAGTAGGCCAGATACATTGTGCTATTACCTCTATTAGTGTTAAAGTGATAAATATTTCTAATGTGGAAAGTTGGTGATGATAGTAGTGGAGGTTTGGTGTAAGCTGGTTGTAATAGTAATCCACTTTTTGACAGGTATGGGTTATTTGTTAAACCAAGGTGAAGTCAGGTTAGTTTTGTGTTATCTGTTTAACAACAAATTTAACCTACATTTAATCAATCAAAAATTTTCTTAATGTTGTTTTATCACATGAAGAAAGTCAGGGATTTAAATATATAAGCAAAAGTATAGAATACAAACTATGTATTGAATACATTTAATTCTATTTATTAAGAAATTTATTCGTGTCTACAGTTGTGAAGTATAATGGTATAATTACATAAAGGATGTATTTTTATCCAGATTTTTTCTTTAATTGCCTTGTTCTATATTATTGACAAGGAGTAAAATATAACCAAGGTAATGAATATTTTAACAAAAATTGGGTTTCTACATTGTGTTATTCCTGTGTTAGAGTCTGTGTAGATATACATGTGGAAGCACCTGGTGATTTCATCAATATCTTCCTTGTCAAAATTATCAGTGATTTATCTAGTCATATGAATGTAAGTTGAAAAATACAGTAGACATTTTGTCTTTTTGTAGCCTTTGTTATCACATATATAGGAATGTTAATCCATCAATACTGATATTTTTTTAATTGGTAATTTTCTTATTTCAATAAGTACTTTTTAAGTGAAAGAATACATGATATATACACAGAAAATTCACCTCTGGGAGGAATTGACTGTTCAGAAATTGGACAAAATCATCATAATTTATTATGAACATTGAACTTCAAATCAAAGTAAAACTTGTCTTAAATCAAAATTAGAAAAGCAATTTTGAAGACATATTGAAAATCAAAACTTCTATAGGAATAAAATTGAAGCCTATAAATTCATTTTAAAATTGATCAAAATGTTAGAAAATCTACTATGCATAAAGAAATATATATATATATTTATTTGAAAAAAAGTTTTAAATGAAAATATTTTTGTCAAATCTAGAATATTTTAGTTGAATATTAGAGTATAAAATTTTAACTACTTTATTGTTAGTAACATACATGTTCTCAGCCAGTAACTTTTGATATTTAGTAAATAAAAAAATTGTTTTTTTAACATTTTAGGTTATGGTATTATGTTTGTAATATTATAGATACATTAAATTTTTATGAATTATTAGTTGTATACAGTTTTGTGTGTATATGAAAGGTTTGTTTTAGAGATTTTTTAATTCGGTAATAAATAATATATACACAGAGCTATACATAATGTAGAAATCCAATTATTTTTAATTTCAAGATGCCTTTAACTCCAGGATTTATTTTATAAAGTCAAAATAAGTGTTTGATGCTTGTTTGTCAGATATTGAGTTTTTGATGTGTTATATTGATTGAATTGTTCAATCATGAAAATTTACAAATAGCACTTCATCATCTTTATCTTCAAATTATTCATTTGAATATGTAAGCTTCCGTTGTTTCAGGATCTCTCAGTCTGGGTATGCAACATTCAATAATTTAACATAGTTCTTAGTTTTTCTGAATATTCATCATAGAAATATTGGTTAGAAAAAAAAAATATTGTGAAATTCGGATAATAGACTCGATGTGTTTAAAGAATTTTTATCTTCTATTCAAAACTAAAACAAATGTGTTAAATTGTAAAATAAAAACAGTAATTTGTAAATTAATGTAGGTAAAATTTAACTAATCAAAAAGTGCTATATTAAACATCGTAACCAAATTGAAATGAGAATATTCTATTATCCATGTGTGTATATATATATACACACACACACGCGTGTGTCTGTATAAATGTACTGTACACACACGTTTTTACGTACAGTGCATGAAAACAACAGTACTATTTTTCCGTTGTTGCAGGAAGCAAATTTAAAAGTGTGGGAAGATTTTTTTGTTTGTATCTTTGTTTCTAGATGTAAATAATGTTTAATATACAAAAGCGTCAGTGCATCTATATGGTCATTATATCTGCTGAGAATCTTGCCGTATTTTAATTTTCGTTTATTTTTGTTTGCCTGATCTTGTCGCTCTTTACCGAAATTTATTTTTATTTTTGCAACGCCCAAAAGTTTAATTTCCAATTTATATATATATATATATATATATATATATATATATATATATATACTATTACTTATTTTTACTTTAGTTAGTTACGTAAAGTAAGTAAACTAATTACTTTAGTTTAGTTACGTTATT